GATGTCTTGTCGGTAGCTCGAAATCTGCTGTGATGGAGCGCTTGCACGGCAGGAACTGGCAACACTCCACCTCAGGTTTCCCTTCCTTGTTCTCACCCTGGAGAGCTGGTTTGCCGTCACCGTGCCATTCTCCCCAGAGTGAAATGCAATCGGGAGGGCTGCACAGGGGGGCTTCCACACGATTTGTAATGTCTTTATGCTTTAAAGACTTTCTAAGGCAAACATGGCACAAGGAAAGGCTTTTTGATAGAGTGGGGTGGTTCATGGGTGTTTACTCTGTGCTTTTCTGTATTTTGGAAATATTTCCTGAAGAACAAAATCTACTCAGATGAATTTTTCAGGGCAGCATAAAACCACTTCCTTTTTGCCCTCTTTAATTTTAGAGATTTAAATCGTGTTTAGTCATAATAATATATGTTGAAAAACCTGGACCTGAACTAATAATAGAAACTTTAAAATTATTTCAAGCCCCAGCCATAGATTTGCTGGGTACTTCTACCTTTGAAATCAACTGATGTGGGGCGATATTTAATAAAAGGTTCATAAGAGGCAGTAACATGAAAAGTAATATCAATATTATTACTTAACCAATTATAATAGCAAAAATATCCAAGCTCTGAATTTAGACTCCAGATTTAAGAGAAAGGAAATAAAGATGAATAGGGATAACCTAGTACAATTTAACTGTAAAAGTTTAATGAGAAGATCTTGAAAATAATAAAATACTACTACTAATAATAGAGGTTTGACAAAAACCAAGGCATTCAAAATAGTCAGGACTATGTTTCCAGCTCTGTGACCTTGAGAAAAGGTCTTTCCACACGCACAGCAGACCGCGAGGGCCTGTTGGGTGGGCGCCCAGTCTCTGAGAGGTGCGCCTGATCTACCTCTAGGAGCTAAGAGGGTTAAATGAGGTCATGCATGTGCAGGGGGCTACTGAAATGTGCCCTACAAAAGGGACAGGCGCAAACTCGGTCACGTATCATTGTGTCACTGTACAGACATCTCACAGGTCATCACCACCACACTCATTCGCTCTGACTTGCGTTATTTCAGAGGTGTCTGACTTCCTGGGTCCAGGAACGCCACAGAGAAAAGAACAGAGGGCCAGTCCTGGAACCCAAAGGAATTCTCACTCTTCCAACTGTTGCAGACCCGGGCTCCCGTGCCCAAGCCCCGCTGCCAAGGCCCCATCTGGGTGATAGAAGTCCCAACTCCATTCTTATCTTTCTTGAAATGAGGAGACGCATGAAGATCTGAACTCCAGGGAGTAAAATGGCCTTCCCGGATCCCACCACAATGGGTCTGGACTCAGAGGAGCCCAGATGAGGCATACAGGGTGATTGATCACACACGAGACTCTACAACCTCTGGTGCGAAGTAAGCGCTAGATAGACAGCCGGTGCCGCCAGCTTACAGCCAATCCACAGGGGGGCGCACGCCCGGGCCTCCCAGCGCCCCGGCCCTCGTCCCTCCTTACGGTGCCTCGGGTGGACTCTGGAAGGCCTGCTCTCACACCCGCACGTGACGTGAACATGCAGACTCCACGTCCCCTAGTCCAGCTTTTTTATGTCTTTTCTCTATTTTCCTATTATTGTGGTTATTTGACGTGGATAGTGTTTTTCAACCATGGTGCACATTACAAACATCTGAGGACCTTTTCAAACATCCTGATGCCCCGGCCCCGCACCAGACCAACTCATCAGAATTTCTGGGCATAGGATCCACCACACTTTAAAAGCTTCCCAGGTGATTCCATCCAGTATGTAGCCCCGGTTGAGAGCCACTGTCTCCGAACATGCACACCGGTTTTCAGAGTCTACTGAAGCAAGTGGCAGAGATGCAGCAGCCCGGGCATTTTTGACACCCTAGGCTTTCAGAAGGGAAGGATGCAGACGACGTGCTCAGGGAAAGCGCCTCCCAGAGGCCGGGCCTGGGCTAGGGGTCAGGGACTGAAAGATGGCGAAGGAGACGCAGATCCGGCCCGCCAAGAGCTCACCTGTACCAATTTCAGTACGGAAAGCGGGGGAGGATTTATAATTTGCATTGTGGTTCAGTCTCATAATGGCAGAGCACTGCAGCACTTGATAACGGGGTTTTACTATATCAAAATCACCGTCAGCACTGGTGAACATTTTGGTGTTTACTGTGTGCTGGCATTGAACTAGGCACTTTAAGTGGGTCAGCTTCACAATAACCACATGAGGTAGACACATGTTATTGTTTCCATTCATTCATTCATTCATTCAGTCATTCCACGAAAGTTCTGATGCCTCCTATTGGCCAGGTGTAGTTCTAAGCACTTGGGCAATCAAAGACCAGATGGACCCCTGTCCCCAGGGAGTGTTCTGTGAGTGGGAGTGGGGAACAAGGAAACAAGGTCCCTATCCCCAAAGTCAATCACATTTTATGTTAGAAATTGCTAAATTCCAGGAGAAAAAGAAAGAGCCAAACAGTTAATATGTGTGTTAACTGTTCCTGGGTAAGGGGGGGGGGGCGGGGGAGGGGGGCGGGGGGGGGGTTCCTGGGTAAGAGCATTAAGATAGGAAGATTTGAGCAAAGACTTAAAAACTGAGCAAGTTCTTTCTTTTACTTCACTAAAATTCACCAAAGGGTATATACACGGTTCAGCTGGGATGCAAACCCAGATATTCTGGGAACCCAAGCCTGTGTGTGTGTTTTTTTAAATTTAATCTTTATTGTATTTTTACCATTACCATTTAGTACTCCTAAACCCCTCTTCCTCCAGCAGTCACCACACTGGTGTCCATGTCCATGAGTCTTTTTTTCTTTTGGCTCAATCTCTCCACCCCCTAACCTCCACCCCACTTCCCAGCTGTCATCCTGTTCTCCATCTGAGAGTGTGTCCCCATTTTTCTTATTAGTTCAGTTTGTTCATTAAATCCCACATATGAGTGAGATCATATGGTATGTGTCTTTCTCTGATGGGCTTATTTCGCCTAGCATAATGTTCTCCAGGTCCATCCATACTGTTACAAAAGGCTAAATTTTCCTCTTTTTTATGGCTGAGTAGATTTCCATTGTATAAATGTCCCATAATTGTTTTATCCACTCATCTATGGAGGGACACTTGGGCTGCTTCCATATCCTGGCAATTGTAAGTAATTGTAAATATATTCATTGCAGTGAACACAGGGGTGCTCATGTTCTTTCTAATTAGTGTTTTGGGTTCCTATGGCTATATCCCCAGAAGTGGGATAGCTGGGTCAAAAGGCAGATCCATTTTTAGTTTCTTTGAGGAACCTCCATACTGCTTTCCACAGTGGCTGCACCAGTCTGCATTCCCACCAGTAGTGAAAAAAGGGTTCCCCTTTCTCCACATCCTTGTCAGCACTCGTTGGTTGAGTTATTGGTGAGAGCAGTTCTGACAGATGTGAGATGGCATGTTACCGTGGTTTTGATTTGCATCTCTCTGATGATCAGTGGCTTTGAGCATCTTTTCTCATGTCCACTGGCCATCTGTATGTCCCTTTGTCTGTTCAGGTCCTTTGCCCATTCTTTAATTGGGTTGTTTGTTTTTTGGAGTTGAGTTTTGTAAGTTCATAAATTTTGGATATTAACCCCTTATCAGATGGATTGACGAATATGTTCTTCCACTCTGTGGATTGTCTTTTCATTTTGTTGATAATTTTCTTTGTTGTGCAAAAATCTTTTAGTTTGATGTAGTCCCATTTGTTTATCTTTTTCTTTTGTTTCCCTTGACTGGGGAGATATATCTGATAAAATATTGCTACAAGCAATATCTAAGATTTTGCTGCCTATGTTTTCTTTTATGATTTTTATGGTTCTGGGTCTACCTTTTAAGCCTTTGATCCATTTTGAATTTATTCTTGTGTATAGTGTAAGAAGGTGGTCTAGTTTCATTTTTCTGCACATATCTGTCCAATTTTCCCAATACCATTTAGTGGATAAACTATCTTTAGCCCTTGTATGTGCTTACTTCCTCTGTCAAATATGAATTGACTATAAAGATGTAGGTTTATTTCTGGGCTCTCTATTCTGTTCCATTGATCTATGTGTCTGTTTTTATGCCAGTACCACGCTGTTTTAATTACTATGGCCTTATAGTATGGTTTGATATTAGATAGTGTAATTCCTCCAACTTTGTTCTTCCTTCTCAGGATCACTGTTGCTATATCAGAGTCTGTGCTCTTAACCTGCCGATTACCTGGTCTTCCAAAAAGTATCACACTACTTTATAGTAAGTGACTTGCTTGTCCAGCCCCTTCAGCTCCCTGCCTGTCTTGTTTACTAAGGAAATTATCTTAGCCCAGTGCCTGCTACATAGCAGGTACTGAATACATGTTTGAATTAAATTAATCATTTTAAATTTTAATTGTTAACTAATACAAATTAACATATATGATTTAAGTATTCATTGTGTGTTTACTGTGTCCTGCCCACTGGCCAGGCAGAAGGACATTTTCGGAAGCGCAGTGGAGGTGAGGATGCTGCAGACGAAACCCGTGGGGAGGTTTCCCCATTTGTATCCTGTGAGAAGGACGATACCACTGCTCTGCCAGGGAACACCGGTCTCTCCTCTGAACCAGAGGATGCAGCAGGACAGGATATTGAACACATGGGAGACTCGTACACAAACAAGAATGCTTCCGGGGCCCTGGCAGGTGTGGCTCAGTGGATTGAGTGATGGCCTGCAAACCAAAAGGTCACCAGTTCGATTCCCAGTCAGGGCACATACCTGGGTTGTGGGTCAGGTCCCCAATTGGAGGCATGTGAGAGGCAACTAATCACTGTATCTCTCACACACTGATGTGTCTCTCCCTCTTTCTCCTTCTCCCCTCTCTCTAAAAGTAAATAAAAGAAAAATGCCTCCAGGTGGAAGATTTCATGACGCAAAAGCCCACACAATGTTATGAAGTCAAATCAAAGATTCCAGGAAAAGTTTTCTTAGTCCATATTCATTTGAGAGAAATTCATAATGTCCCCACGTGAGAGCAATCTTTTGAGTACTCACTTACCTATTGAAGTGGTAGATATCCTGTATGTTTCCAAAAAGGGCTGATCTTTCTTCTGTCCCCAGAGGGAGTTTCGTTTGGTCCCTGATGCAGTCAAGGTAATCCTGAGAAAGCAACGAGAAGGCTGTTTTAGATGCTGCTGTCCTCCTGCAAGTCACCTTTAGTTTGCAAGATGCATCTTTCTATCCATGTCAAGTAATTATCATACAGATATGCTCAACTCCACTCTGAGAATACAGAGTCTCTCTTTCATCAATGATGCTAATACTTAACGTATTTATAGAATGAGGATAGTGAGCAAAGAAAAAGAATGTTGTATACATTAATGATCTGCCCTCCAATAGTATTAGAACTTCTCTAGATGGATACTATAATGACCACAGTAACCAATAATAGAGTTTTGACATAAAAATAGCATCTGCTGTTTCTTTGATATGATATCATGACATGATAAAAGATACTCCAAACTTCATACAGTGAAAAACCAGAAATGCAGATCTTAAAATTTCTCATCACAAGATACAGTGAAAAACCACAAATGCAGACCTTAAAATTTCTCATCACAAGAAGAATAACTTGTAACTATGTGAGGTGATGGATGTTAACTAAACTTACTGTGTTTAGTCAACACACTGTATACAGTTAACATACTGTAACACTGTTATACATTGTCCACCTTAACGAATGCAATGCTGTATATGTCAGTTCTATCTTAATAAAACTGGGAAAAGTGACAAGAGTCGATTTAAACATACCCTTTAAGATAGGAAGAACTCATTGTTACAGGACTGAAGTCTTTCCCAAATACCAATTTATTTCTTTTAAAAAATTTCTTTTAAATAAAGCACATCATGCTACCTACTAGGCTATGTCAAAGATCCATGGAAAACTTCGACATGATTTTACTTGCTGAATATTTTTATTAACAGAGAAACAGCTGCAGACAGAGCCAGCCGGGACTCAGACCCACAGCGGGTTCAATGTACACGGCTTAGAAGCTATTCGAGCTGCTGAGAGCGGGAAACTCCTTCCGGCCCTGAGTGCCCAAGAGTTCAAACCCGAGCATCCCTGCTCCCCTCAACAACGCCCAACAAAGCTAGCTCTGTAGGAGGCAAGAACACAATAAAGAAAAAAGTGAAAACAGCTGAAATAACATAAATTAAAAAAAAAAATCAGTGCAAGTTCCTGCCCTGAGTGTGTACCGTGCCCCTCTACCGAATGCCACAGGGGCTTCGGCGGCACGTGGAGGTAGTGACCCAGCGACAAGTCAAGCAGACCATGAACATCCCAGCACTGGAACCTCATTCCGGAGTCCGTCCAGACACAACGAGGTAGAGGCAACTAGCGAAAGGCGAAACTGACATTGAGGAACCATTGGATAATTGTTTCTTCTCTCTTAATCACCCACATTCATTCTCTCGTGTGCTTTATGTTCCACAGATGAAGAACAGGCAGGGTTTCATCATTAACTTCCTCAGTGGCACATCTGACAGACGGCATCAAACAACTTTCAAACATTCTCGTTTTTTAATATTAAGATCACTGTCATGCATGAACCAATGTTCATTTTTTTTTGGAAACAAGCTTTGTGGTAACATCTGTTCTTCTTAAGAAAGTAGTCATCTCAATACGAAATGAGTCACAAGATTTAAGTGCAGTTGTCATTAAAAACCCACAATAGCAAAACCTAGTCTCCTTACTTTTATGAATGGAACAGTTATTAAGAGGCTTATGTATCTGCCTCAGAGGACACAGAGTTAGTGCCCACACAAGAAATGCTAAAGGAGGTTAGAATTGATGTAACAGCATTTTGAACATGTTAAAACCTAAATTACATTTCCTCAAAAAAAAACAAAAAACAAACAAACCAACAACATGTGTTCACTGTTATTTTCATAAAATTATATATGGTCCTAAAGGATGGGCTGACATTTAACTTACACTAAATAGTTGTATTTGACAGTTGCTTAATACTTTAATCAGCATTTTAAAAGGACAAATTGCACATAAAATCGAGAAGGTAGAACAGACGGATGCGCATGGGCATGAAATGAAAAAGTGAGTCAGAAAGCTGTGGATGAGCACAGTCCGCACCCTGCTGCAGGATGAAGGGAGAGACGGGGGCGGTGTTGCCTGCACCAGATCCACCTGGCCGGCTGCACTGGGGCTCAGCGAGACGACGAACAATCCCTTTTCTCGCTTCAACTGCGAAGCTTGCTCGTTTGCAGAAACCCAAAACTAAATTCTCCATGCGAGGGAAAGGCTGAGTGAAGGGGCTTGAAGAATTTCATCTGGGGCGAGAGACAAAGAACCGTGGCCCCTTTCCAACCAATGCTGGCCCCTCGCCAAGCGAGAGCGGTTCAAAGCCCCAGTCTGTGGTGGAGAAACTAGGTTGTAAAAGCTGCTTGCTCTGAAATGGTTGAGAAAATAGATCGTCAGGAGTCCAAATTTTTGTAGGCCGCTCTAGAAAACAGATCAAAGTCACATGGCCACAACTTGTTCCCCCCGCTGATCATAATTAAGTCCTTTAAATATGATACTTTAACCCTAACCCAGTTACTGAAAACTACTGTAGCATGCACTGCATTAGCAGCTGTAATCATCTGAGGCCAAAATGAGAGGTTTGAAGCTCAGTGATAATAACAGCTCATTCTGTGCTCAAATGACAGAGGAAAGATACCAATGAAACTTATTAGAGCCTGTCATGCTGCTTATTAATTTTATTGGCTTGATGTTAGTGCCTGTTGCTACCCTACTGTTAACAGTGAGGGGCCACTTTGAAACTTTCGCATTGGACAATTACTCTCCAAGGGAATCAAGAATTTCCTCTACTTTGGGGAGATTCACACAGAAAAGAACTTTTCACCATTTGGATACTTTTGTTATATAGTTTTAAATTTTGCTTAGAAAGCATTTATTTTTCTATTCATTTATGCCCTTAAGATTTCCACCATTGTAATGATTTGTACCTGAGTATCTTTTTCTCATTAACTTTTTCATTCCTTGTAATGTCTGTTATTGAAAATATACAATAATCTAATTTGGTGCTGTTTGAGGTGTGGTAAGTGAACAGGATCCAGTTTGCAAACTGCTGGTTACCGGCCTGCAACAAAGTGCAGAAATCAAGAGAAAGCATGATCTTATGGCCCAAAGGCCGGCAATTGACAACATGTAGAAACTTACAGCATTTGGGCAGAATGGGGTCTTTTGAATCTAATGATAAATTTGGACTTGTATTTTGCATGTCTGATTTTTTCTGTTTTATTTTTCTAGTAATTCTTTGTATTATTGTACTTTTCAAAAGTGTCAGTGTGCAAGTGATGCATGATTGCGAAACACAGACGCACGTCCCTCATGATAGAAAGGCTGAGAAGCAGAAATGCTGCAGAAACTGGGGAAGAGGCACCGGCTGGGTAGCCCAGTTGGTTAGAGCATCATCCCATTATGCCAAGGTTGTGGGTTCGATCCCCAGTTAGGGTCATACAATAATCCGTCACTGAATGCATAAATAAGTGGAACAACAAATAGGTATTTTTCTTTCTCTTTCTAAAACTCAATAAATAAAAAAAATTAAAAAATAAAAGAAACTGGGGAACTTAGATTCAAATTCAAAAAGGTTGTGTTCATAAATCCTGCTCACATTTCAAAATTCTACCCACTGATTTTATGGCTTAACCTTTTCGATCTAATCTCTGTTGTTAGCACTTCCAAATTCCAAGTCTTGGATATGACTCCTGTGTAAGGCTTTTCCATCTTTGTTTCGGAGGATGCACCCTTTCCTGGTTCCTCATCCCCTCCACCTTTTTCTAGAAACCAGTCATCTCTTCATCTAACAGCCTGCCTCCCGAATGCTGCCACAGGTTGCGTGGAGATGCCACGTGTACCGCAGTGACTGACACTCGTGCGTCCGTTTTCAGTCAAACAGCGCAGCCACATTCACGCATTCAAACCCTCCTCCCCACCTTTTTTGAGGACACAGGAACGCATGCCAAGTTCTGTTTTACAAGCTAGGAATTAAAAAGATGAATAAAACATGATCCCTTCCCCCAAGGAGCTCCCTGTGTAGCTGAAAGACAAGTGTAAACAAATAAGTACAATACGGTGGTGTTGAGGCCACAGGGCTGGTAAATATTCAGTACTCAGGAGAGAGGCTGCCCACGGGGCAGCGGTCAATTCCAAGCCAGGGAGAGGCTCTACCGAGGAGCTGACAGGGGAGCTGACTCCTTAAGGATGACCAGGAGTCTGAAAACAGAGACGGGAGTAGGAAGGACAAGACCACATCCAGGAAGAGAGAAGAGTAAACAAGCACGAGGTCGTGGAATGCGGGGTGTGGCCAGGGAACCAACAGGAGCCCAGGTGGGTTAGAGGGGGCAGGGCGTGCACATGCGCACACAGACCTGGAGGTGGGGCTGTCACGGGAGTGAGGACAGGACTGATCCAGGAGAATCTTCCCTGCTCTGCAGGTGGTATGACGAAAAAGGATGTAATGAGACCAAACACCATCCCAGCATCAGTAAAGAAAATGCAACAGAAGCTATAAAAGTGCCGGTGGGGAGGCAGAGCAGCGCCGGTGGGCGCAGACCCAGTCCGCCACAAGTTGCGTGGAGGGCAGAGGTACTGACCCGGGGCGAGAAGAGGGAGAGAAAGGGGGCCGGTCAGGGGTGAGTGTCTCAGTGTAAGTGACCGAGGGGCAACGTTGGCTTTCAGGAGGAGGGAGTCTGGGCCCTTCTCTCTTCTTTCACTTCCCACTTCAAGGGTGACTGGTGCTGTCCCCCTAGCTTTCGGCACAGACAGTAAGTGAATTAAAAGGCATTGATACCCAGTGGCTGCAGCGTGGAGACAGCCAGGGAGCTCCCTCTGGGGAGGACCCACCAGCTTTCATCCTTCCTTTGGCTCCCTTTTCCAGGTGGCTGGGGAGGCCGAGCATGGATCTAGCGCTGTTTCTGCAGGCTGAGAGGGCAGAGACCTTGGCGATGCAGTTCTGGGCCTTGGGGGCTGGCTGGTCTTCCTCACACCCAGATAACACACTTAAAGACACCCCTGGGGATTCGCCGTGGACAGGAGACGAGGCGTGTCTTTAGCCTGGCTCATCCAGATAGTCCAG